CTCTTGACCTTGTGATCCACTCACCTCAGCCTCCCAAAGTGGTGGGGTTACAGGTGTGAGCCACTCTGCCTGGCTGAGTTGTTGTTATCTACATATAGACTAGATTAGATCAAATTTTTTTCAATAAAATTATTAAAAACAGAAACTGCGCTGTTCCTGAAGTCTGTTGATGAAAAAAGTCAAACTCTGGAAAACATTTGAAGAGATTTATTCTGAGCCAAATAGGAGTGACCATGACCCATGACGTGGCCTCAGGAGGTCCTGAGTTGCCCAAGGAGGTCGGGGTGCAGCTTGGTTTTATACATTTTATGGAGACTCAATCAAATACTTTTAAGTAATACTTTGGTTTGGTCTAGAAAGGCAGGACAACTCAAAGCAGGAGCTACCAGTGTATAGGTAGATTTAAACATTTTTCTGGTTGACAATTGGTTGGGTTTATCTAAAAGCCTAGGATGGGCCGGGCACGGTGGCTCACACCTGTAATGTCAGCACTTTGGGAGGCTGAGGCCGGTGAATCACCTGAAGTCAGGAGTTTGAGACCAGCCTGGCCAACATGGTGACACCCCGTCTCTATTAAAGATACAAAAAAATTAGCCAGGTGTGGTGGTGGGCGCCTATAATCCCAGTTACTCAGGAGGCTGAGACAGGAGAATTCCTTGAATCCGGGCGGTAGAGGTTACAGTGAGCCAAGAACGCACCATTGCACTCCAGCCTGGGCAACAGATCTAGACTCTGCCTCAAAACAAAAACAAAACAAACAAACAAACAAAATTGTCTAGCATCAACAGAAAGGAATGCCTGGGTTAAGACAGAGGATTGTGGTGACCTAAGTTCTTATTTGCAGAGGAAGCCTTCAGGGACTAGGTTTCAGAGAGACTAGGTTGTAACATGTTTCTTATGAGATTTAAGTCTGTGTTGATGTTGATGCCAGAGAAGTATAATGAGGCATGTCTGACCCACAAGTGCTGTCATGGCCTAAAACAGTCTCTCAGGTTAATTTTAAAAGAGCTCTGGCTGAGGAGGAAGTCCATTCAGATGGTTAAGAGGGAGTGGGGGTGCTTAGGATGTTATTTTTAGTTTACAAATACAGTAAGATAAAACTGCATTTTTTTTCTTTTTTCTTTTTTTTTTTTTTGAGACAGAGTCTTGCTCTGTTGCCAAGGCTGGAGTGCAGTGGCAAGATCTTGGCTCACTGCAACCTCCGCTTCCCGGGTTCACACGATTCTTCTGCTTCAACCTCCCGAGTAGCTGGGACCACAGGCATGTGACACCATCCCGTTAATTTTTTGTGTTTTTAGTAGAGGCGGGGTTTCATTGTGTTACCCAGGACAGTCTGGACCTCTTGGCCTCGTGATCCGCCCACCCTGGCATCCAAAAGTGCTGGGATTACAGGCATGAACCACTGCGCCCAGCCAAAGTGCATAAATTTTAAGGAACAACTCTCGTGCCTGAGGTATGAACCACACAAAAAGTTCACCAGACTGTCCAATGCCATAACCAGAGACATTTCAAATCAGGATGAGAAGTTGATGTTTCCACACTGTGGACAGCTTTTCCCAAGACGTCGGAATAATTCTTCATATCATAATGAGACTCTTACCCCCTTAATGTCTACATTTTTCACTTGAGAGAACCTGAACCCCAAATCCTTTGATTCATCTAGTGGTCTCTTTTACAGAGTTGGCACTCTGCTTTAATTCAACCCAGTCCTAAAAGGCTACTCAAAGACTACAAGAGGTCTCATTCAATTCCCCCACAGTGTTTTGGTTTGTCTTGGGATCTTGGTTCAAAACCATTGTACAAACTAAATTTATTATCCTACTGCTAATTATAGCTGGGTGCAATAGCTCACGCCTGTAATCCCAGCACTTTGGGATGGCAAGGCGGGCAGATCACTTGAGGTCAGGAGTTAGAAACCAACCTGGCCGACATGGTGAAATCCTGTCTCCACTGAAAATACAAAAATGAGCCGGACGTGATGGTAAGCACCTGTAATCTCTGCTACTTAAGAGGCTGAGGCAGGAGATTCTCTTGAACCAAGGAGGTGGAGGTTGCAGTGAGCTGGGATCACGCCACTGCACTTCATCCTGGGTGACAGAGCAAGAATCCATCGCAATAAAATAAAATAAAATAAAATAAAATAAAATGAAATAAAACAATTGCTAATTATTTTGGTATTATGATCTTTGAGCTCCGTTCTTGTTGCCTGTCTAATATTTGTTAAGCCAGTTCTCCCAACAGGATAATGATAGCCCAGGGTGTCAAGATGATTGCTAATACAGATGAAACTAACAAGATGGAACTTGATACTGAACTCCAGACAAACATGCCTGATTTTTTTTTTCCTTCTGGCCTCTTTGTGGCTCATATGTGGCCCATGTCCCTGATATTGCCTCCCTTACCTTTCCCTTGACATGGGACAAAGACAACCGGCCCAGGTCCATCCTGGCATGGAGTGACAATGAAGCCTCACTTTAAGATGGCTGATCAGTGAGGTTTTCAAAGAAAGATGTTGATCAAAAAAGGGAATGTGAAAGCTGATTGTGAGAATGAACCAACTACTCCAGGGCCAATGAACCTCATTTCAAAACAATATGTAACATTTTTCTTTCTAATAAAACTTCCAACTTCTCTTTGTTTGTTGCACATATTGAAGACCACCCTAGTCCATGTGTATGCTCTGAATTGCAATTTTGTGATTCCCGAATACAGCATTTGATTTAGGGATTTGTCTCTAGAATTTATTTTGACTTTGACACAATCAACCAGTATGATGTGTTTAAAGGTCGCCCTGCCCTCAGACAAGGTGAGTATTATACTGAATTTAAAAACTCATTCTAGGACGGGCATGGTGGCTCACATCTGTAATCCTAACACTTTGGGAAGCCAAGGTGGGTGGATCACCTGGGGTGAGGAGTTCAAGTCCAGCCTGGCTAACATGATGAAACCCCATCTCTATAAAAAATACAAAATTAGCTGGGCAAGGTGGCCCATGCTTGTAATCCCAGCCACTCGGGAGGCTGAGGCAGGAGAATCACTCGAACTCAGGAGACAGAGGTTGCAGTGAGCCGCCATCACACCATCGCACTGCAGCCTGGGCAACAAGAGTGCAACTCCGTCACCCCCCAAAAAATTATTCTATTATAATCTTGATAATTGCTTTGCTTTGCATCTTACTATGGACTTGTTGGATATCTAGGTGGCTGTAAACTACCCAGAGAAAGATAGAAACGCAGTGGAGACAATAAGAAAATTGCAGTGTTACTATAAAAGAATAACAATAGGGGGAAATTGTAAGGGTAGCTAAACATAAAATTGAGTTTTTCCTGTTGCCAAAAGGCCAAGAAGAGACCTTTCCCCATTTCACTTTCCTTACAGCATTTCCTTGAGAAAAATTGTATTTGTAAATTCTTCCTTTGATATGTAAGCCTCTGTCTACCCTAGAACCCAGGAATGTCTTGAACTTGAACTCCAGGCCTCAAGTGATCCTCCAGTCTCAGCCTCCCAAAGTGTTGGGATAAGAGGTGTGAGCCACCATGCCCGGTCCCTAGAAATGTCTTTCTTCAGGGCCTTGGAGCCATCTCTTTGAAATGTGAACCTCGAGGAAGATGATGTCCCTGTCTCACTGTCACCAGGGGAGTCTAGCCTAGGTGCCTTGCTCCAAGCTGTAAGCACCTGCTTGTCATAGAGATGTGAGTTTTATTTTTCCTTTGGATAAAGGCAATTAACTAGCACAGATGGGTACTCCAGTTACTCGGTGAACTTAGGACTTGCCTGGGAGTAGTTTTCACCCTTGGCTGCTGCTGTACAACCAGGCCAGTTAGCTACATATCTGGACTTTCTGGTTTCTGCTACCACTTTTTTGATTGTTTGTTTGTTTTGTATGTTTTTGAGGCGGAGTCTTGCTCTGTCGCCCAGGCTGAAGTGCTGGTATGGTCTCAGCTGACTATAACTTCTGCCTCCCAGGGTCAAGTGATTCTCCTGCCTCAGCCTCCCGAGTAGTTAGGATTACAGGTGCGTGCCACCATGCTGGGCTAATTTTTGTATTTTTAGTAGAGATGGAGTTTCACCATGCTCGCCAAGCTCGTCTCGAATGGCTGACCTCATGATCGCCTGCCTTGGCCTCCCAAAGTGATGGGATTACAGGAGTGAGCCACCGCACCCGGCCTCTGCTACCACTTTTGGATTGTATGAAACACTACACTTCAAAGTGTGGGATCTGGCTTCCCAGACAGCTGCCAAAGGGTCAGATGATACAATCTAGAAGTGTGGGGGAGTTTGTGCCTGTAGAGTAAATTTTGACCAATAAGAAAAAGAACCAGGAGTGAGATCCAGAGAGCAGAGGTGTTTTTTTGTTTGTTTGTTTTTGGTTTTTGTGCTTAAAAAATAAAGTGGGCCAGCTTCAATGCCTCACACCTGTATTCCCAGAATTTGGGAGGCCACTTGAGCCCAGGAGTTCAGGACCAGCCTGACCAACATAATGAGACCCCCATCTCAAAAAAAATCAAAAAACAACAAACAAACAAACAAATAAACAAAAAACAAAGGAAAAGAGAAGAGAAAAGAAGAGAAGAGAAGTATGGTTTTATTACTACCTGCAGGCAGGGCCTGCCTGAGGTGGTAGGTGTGCTGGGCCCAGGGGATGTGTGGGCTGTGAGGAGATGGTGATGGCGAGGCTGGAAGGAAATGGGGTCGCTTGGAAACCAGGCCCAGGGGATCCTCAGACCCGCTTCTTGGAATGGGCAGCCTTGAGAAAAGAGTCATGGTAAGCCACAGTCATGCCATCCATCAGATGCAGAAATTCTTGGAAATCTAGTTGCCCATCACTAGTGAGGTCCAGTTTCTTCATCATGTGGTCAAGGACACTGGGGTCCTTCTGGTTCTTTGTGAAGGCATCCAGTTCTCTATTCATGAAGCTTGGGAACTCCATCTTGGGGTGAATGCTGTTGTAACTATCCTTTCAAGCCTGTTTCTGGAAAATAGCAATCAGGGACTTGATGCACTGCTCTGTCTCTGTAGGGCTGGAGATTTTCGCCATGTTGGAGTTGACTGAGGCATCAAGAGCAGGTTTTTACTGGACCTGTGTAAATAACCATATTGCCATAAGAATGTTTACAAATAGTTTTCGAATTCTGGAGGAATCGAGTAGAAAGAAAAACTGAACACTTCCATCTTAGTTTACAAAAGTATACTTTATCAAATTGTTGTAAACTATAGATAGTTTAACAGAGAAAATTTTCTCTTTTTTTTTTCATCTTTTTGAGAAAGGATTGTGCTCTGTTGCACAGGTTGGAGTGCAGTGGTGCAAACACGGCTCCCTGCAATTGCTGCCTCCTGGCTCAACTGATCATCCCACCTCGGCCTCACAAGTAGCTGGGACCACAGGCATGCACTACCATGCCCAGCTAAATTTTGTATTTTTTTGTAGAGACAGAGTTTTGCCATATTGCCCAGAGTGGTCTTGAACTTCTAGACTCAAGCTATCCTCCCATTTGGCCTTCCAAAGTGAGCCACCACATTCCACTAGAAAATGTTCTTATATGTGGAAAACAAAACATTTAAGTAAAAAACAAAGTTTTTATTTTCTTAATTTTTTTTTAGAAACGGGTCAACTATGTTTGCCAGGTTGCTCTTGAACTCCTGCACTCAAGGGATCCTCCTGTCTTAGCCTCCCAAAGTGCTGGGATTACAGATGTGAGCCACTGCTCCCAGCCCAAGAACAAATAAAGTTTTAAATAAAGGTCAAAAATACATTAGCTTTATCAGTTATTTAGCCTCATGTAATTAATTTTTGTTCTGCTTGATCTTGTTGATCAGTTGCATGAACCCATCAGTTTCTGTTTGAGTTTTGAAAAAAAATTATTTAGTTCATTGATCTGAAATTTATCAGAAATCTATATTCAACAGTAATTGTTAGAATCTTTTTTATGACTCTGATTCTATACGCCTTTAGAGAAGAATCAGCACTGTAGGTGAAAAAACAGAATGATGATGATTGGTTCAAGCCAGGGATCCCAGCACTTTGGGAGGCCGAGGCAGGCGGATGACCTGAGGCCAGGAATTCAAGATCAGCCTGAGCAACATGGTAAAACCTCTTCTCTATTAAAAGGACAAAACATTAGCTGTGCGTGGTGGCCTGTGCCTGTGGTTCCAGGTATTCTGAGGAATGAGAATTGCTTGAACCCAGAAGACAGAAGTTGCAGTGAGCCGAGATCACGCCGTTGCACTCCAGCCTGGGCGAAAGAGAGACTCCGTCTCAAAAGAAAAACAAAACAAAACAAAACAAAACCCCAGGCTCGACAGAAAGGAATGCCTGGGTTAAGATAAAGGATTGTGGAGACACAAGTTCATATAAGCAGAGGAAGCCTTCAGGTACTAGGCTTCACAGAGAATAGGTTGTAACATGTTTCTTGTCAGACTTCAAGTCTGTGTTGATGTTGATGTCAGAGAAGTATAATAAGGCATGTCTGACCCCCGTTTCCTGTCGTGGCCTGAAACCGTCTCTCAGGTTAAATTTTAAAAGAACCATGCCTGAGGAGGAAGTCCATTCAGATGGTTGCGGGGAGTGGGGGTTAGGATTTTATTTTTGATTTACAAGTCCTATACGATAAAAGTGCATAAATTTTAAAGAACAAGTCTCATGCCTGGTGTATGGACCACACAAAAAGTTCACCAAAGTGTCCAATGCCATAACCAGAGGCATTCGAACGACAAATCAGCCTGAGGAGATGATATTTCCACACTGTAGACAGCTTTTCCCAAGACGTCAGAATGAGTCTTCATATCATGAGACTCTTACCCCCTTAATGTCTACATTTTTCACTTGACAGAACCTGACCCCCAAATCCTTTCCTTCACCTAGTGGTCCCTTTTATAGAGTTGGCACTCGGCTTTAATTCAACCCAGTCCTAAAATGCTGCTCAAAGACTACAGGAGGCCTCATTCAGTTCCCCCATAGTCTTTTGACTTGTTTAGCTGTTGGCCCTTAGGCTTGCGATCTTGGTTCAAAACCATTGTACAAACTAAATTTATTGTACTATTGCTAATTATAGCTGGGTGCAGTGGCTCATTCCTGTAATCCTAGCACTTTGGGATGCCAAGGTGGGCAGATCACTTGAGGTCAGGAGTTCGAGACCAGCCTGGTCAACATGGTGAAACCCCGTCTCTATTAAAAGGACAAAATAATTAGCTGTGTGCTGTGGCCTGTGCCTGCGGTCCCAGCTACTCCAAGGCAGGAAAATTGCTTGAATCCAGGAGATGGAGGTTGCAGTGAGCCGAGATCACGCCATTGCACGCCAGCCTGGGCAACAGAGAGACACGCTGTCTCAAAACAAAAACAAAACAAAACAAAATCCCAGGATCAATAGAAAGGAATGTCAGAGTTAAGATAAAGGACTGTGGAGACCCAAGTTCTTATTTGCAGAGGAAGCCTTCAGGTACTAGGCTACAGAGAAAATAGGTTGTAACATGTTTCTTTTTTTCTTTTTTTTTTTTTTCATCAGAAGGAGTGTCACTCTGTTGCTCAGGCTGGAGTACAGTGGCGTGATCTCAGCTCACTGCAACCTCCGCCTCCCGGGTTCAAGTGATTCGCCTGTCTCAGCCTCCTGAGTAACTGGGATTACAGGTGTCCACCACTGCATCTGGCTAATTTTTGTATTTTTAGTAGAGACGAGGTGTCAACATATTGGTCAGGCTGGTCTCGAACTCTTGACTTCAGGTGATCCACCTGCCTTGGCCTCCCAAAGTGCTATGATTACAGTTGTGAGCCACCGTGCCCAGCGGTAATATGTTTCTTATCAGACTTCAAGTCTGTGTTGATGTTGATGCCAGAGAGGCATGTCTGACCCCCACTTCCTGTCATGGCCTGAAACCGTCTCTTAGGTTAAATTTTAAAAGAGCCCTGGCTTAGGAGGAAGTACATTCAGATGGTTGGGGGCAGGGAGCTTGGGATTTTATTTTTGATTTACAAGTCCTATAAAACAAAAGTGCATAAATTTTAAACAACAAGTCTCGTGCCTGATGTATGGACCACATAAAAAGTTCACCAAACTGTCCAATGCCATAATCAGAGACATTTGAACGACAAATCAGGGTGAGGAGATGATATTTCCACAATGTAGACAGCTTTTGCGAAGACATCAGAATAAGTTTTCATATCATAATGAGACTCTTACCCCCTGAATGTCTACATTTTTCACTTGACAGAACCTGACCCCCAAATCCTTTCCTTCACCTAGTGGTCCCTTTTATAGAGTTGGCACACTGCTTTAATTCAACCCAGTCCTAAAATGCTACTGAAAGACTACAAGAGGCCTCATTCACTTCCCCCACTATCTTTTGATTTGTTTAGTTGGTGGCCTCTAGGCTTGGGATCTTGGTTCAAAACCATTGTACAAACCAAATTTATTATACTATTGCTAATTATAGCTGGGTGCAGTGGCTCATGTCAGTAATCTCAGCATTTTGGGGTGCCAAGGAGGGCGGATCACTTGAGGACAGGAGTTCAAGACAAGCCTGGCCAACATGGTGAAACCCCGTCTCTACTAAAAAGACAAAAATTAGCCGGGTGTGGTGTTGGGCGCCTGTACTCCCAGCTACTCGGGGGTCTGAGACAGGAAAATCGCTTGAACCAGGGAGGTGGAGGTTGCAGTGAGCAACCTTGCTCACTGCACTGGCTGGATCACACCACTGCACTCCAGCCTGGGCAACAGAGCGAGACTCCATCTTAGAAAACAAAAACAAAAGCAAAAACTTAATAAATACAGTTAAGAACCTTTCTTAAAATGCGAAATCTCTGTTTTTATAGACTGATTATTTAAAAGGTAAAGAAAAACAGATCAACATGTTAAGAAAACCTATTTCAAACCTAGAGGAGCAGACTCGCCCTGCTTCAGTGCACCCTTGACACTAATGTTCAATTTTTAGAAAAACTGATAAACAATTTCTTTTCAATCCCAACCAGTCTCATCATATATAAGACTCCCTTCCCAAGGCTCATCCTTCATAAACCCTCAGCAACTTGCCTAGACATTGCATAATTTTTTTACCTTCAGTCTTAGCCGTATGAATTTTCATTTTCATATTGGACTCCATTCCAAGTACCATCCAAGCCTGACCCTGTTTAACTTCTGAGATTAGACAAGATTTGGCGCATTCTGGGTGGTATGGCCATAGACTATTTTTAATATTAAAACAATCAATCATTTTATTTTAGGATAAAAATGTATTATCACTCAGACCACGCAAAATTTTGTCAGATAAAAATTATTTTTTGTACATTTGATATATAGAATTACATATACTAAGAACTTTTAATTTTTAGTAACCTTAATTTTTGGTAACCTTAATTTTTGGTAAAAACCTAGGAAGTAGTTTGGAATTGTTATATATTAACATCTCATGAATATATATTTTATAATCTTTAAAAATATTTTTATAGAACAATTTTCAATGTGGAACAGGGCATGTTATTAACAGATCCAAATACCCTTTGTCTTTTGTAAAACTTGAAGGCCAAGAACAAACTTGTATTTATGTTCAGTGATTTGTATCCCTTGTTTTCTTAGTTGGAAATCATCCCAGCATTTAGTGAGTACCTATTACTTAATCTAACATAACTTTAATATCTCATCTTCATATGGTAAGAGCAAGAGAAAAAAAAAGATTTCAAACTACATGAAAAGTTCACTTATAACATGTATCTCACATTTATCTCATTTATTCATTTTAACCATTATACCTAGATTACTTATGAAAACTGCCATATTAAACAAAGTCAGTTGGCCAGGTGCGGTGGCTCACGTCTATAATCCCAGCACTTTGGGAGGCCGAGGCGGGCAGATCACTTGAGCTCAGGAGTTCAAGACCAGCCTGGCTAACTGGGTGAAACCACATCTCTACTAAAAAATACAAAAGTTCTCTGTTTGTCTGTTACTGGTGTATAAGAATGCTTGTGATTTTTGCACATTAATTTTGTATCCTGAGACTTTGCTGAAGTTGCTTATCAGCTTA